TCACTGGTCACGTGACTTTTGCCAAACGAAGCAAGCCTCGACACAGTGCTTCTGAACCAGTGTGTTGTTTTTTTCGACACACGCTCCGGAGCGTCAGCTTCAAGCGGACCATCACTAATTAAGAGCAACAATGAGAAGTATTTGGATTTAACTGGTTGCTGTTTCTTGCAGGAGATTGAAGATGCTGCTGTTGCTCCTGCTCCTCACGAGCGGTAAGAAACTCTTATATACTATATGTAAACAATGTTTATCTTGCACTCAGACCGAAGTTTTATCGCACAGGTATATACACGCAGTGTGTGAAATTACCGATGTAACGATGGCTTTATTTGTAAGAGAGCGAGGGGCGGTGTGAGAAAGTCTGGACCGACTTTGTGTTGAAAGTTTGAGCCTGGGAGAGGCTAACTAGCCGTGCTAAGCTAGCTCGGTGACACAGGTCATGGCTGCAGATCTGAGATAAAAGGCTTTATTGACAGGTCCGATAATCCTTTATATCACAACATCATTCTCAGACAGGTGACAGGAACATGCAATGAAGTGGCCATCTATATCTGCTGTTGTTACCAAAGTGTGACTGACTGGAATGTTACCAGTTAAAATCGAAAGCTTTTTCTTTTTTTTTTTGTTCAGAACTGTGAGGATTGTTTATTTCCTGTTTAATCTCGCAAACTACCACTGATGCGGTAACCGGAACTAATTCCCTCTGAAAAGTTTGATTTCACCGCAGCGTTTCACTAACTTCCCAGAAAATAAAACTAAGTTGTTTAAGTAAAAATCTTTTTCAAAGAAGCACCGTCAACGTGCATAGTTTAGCTGGGCAGGAAGTCAGAAACAGTAACAGTCTAAAACAAAACGACATCAAAAACCCAGTGCAGACTAAACTTCACTTAAAAGTGTGTTGGAGAGTCGTGGACACACTTGCAGATTTGTGTCTGGGCTCTGTCAAAAAGTCAGATAATATAATATAGAATACAAATTAATAATTACTGAATTGATTACTGGTGAAAAGAGCAGAAAAGAGAGTTTGATTAACTATTTCATGGGGTTGTTTATGGTCTGCCTCCTGAAGTCAAACATAAACAGACAGTGACAGAAGATACTTGACCACATGAGTTATTTCGGTGTTACATACCAGTGATTTACAGTAAATACTACTTTGACACTGTTCCAAATGACACAGAACAAAAGTAATGCTCATAATAAAGGCTGCTATATAAGAACAGACATAAATAATGAAATCGGGATAAACTTTAAAATCCCTTTAAAGGCATCTTGATGCATTCTTAATCATCCAGGAAAGTAAATCTCCATATGTTGATTCTGTTCATCTGGACGTAGCGTTTTGTGGGAGAAACGTTTCATCACTCATCCAGGTGACTTCTTCAGTCTCAGCTGACTGCAGGTTTCCCCAACCTTATTTCCCCAACCAGTACATT